CTAGCTCCACCCATGTTGTTGCAAATGGTAGGATTTGTTTTCTCCTTATGGCTGAATAATATTCCATTGTGTATATGTACCACATCTTCTTTATCCATTCATCTACTGATGGACACTTAGGTTGCTTCCATTTCTTGGCTATTGTAAATAGTGCTGCAATAAACATAGGGGTGCATATGTCTTTTTCAAACTGGGCTGCGGCATTCTTAGGGTAAATTCCTAGAAGTGGAATTCCTGGGTCAAATTGGTCTTTCAGTTTTTAATGTATGTTGTTTCCCCTCCCTATCCCCAGAGTATTAGCCAGTTTTAGTTTTTACTAGAGTTCCTCATCTACTAAAATTTCTAATATTAAAATGCATTTATTCTTAGCAACACAATGAACTCCATTGTGTATTTGAAATTTCCCCTGAGATGTGAATTGAGAGAGAGGAATTTAGCTCAAACTGACTGTTAAAGACAACTGAATTCTAATATAATTTGTCACATTAACTACACTCCTAGGCTAAATCATTGGATCCTCCTCCCTATGTACAATGTCTTTTATCTTACTGCCTCTGTGTTTTATTTATTATTAGTTTATATTTATTATATTTAATATATATATTATATATATTATTAGTTTATATTTATTAATTATTAGTTATTTGCCTCTGTGTTTCAATAATTAATTTTAAGGTAACCAGTACAGGAACAAAAATGGTGGTGTAATTACATTACAAGGAGAGCAGAGGGGAAATCAAGGAAAGTGCTGGGAAGTGAGCTATTTCATCACCCACTGTAATAAAATGTCAATATACAGGTACCATGTTTAACATTGACGAATTATAAATAGTTTGAAATTCATATTACTTTAAAGGGTTCCTGTGGGTTTTGGTGGAGTGGAGCAGGGAGCTATTGCCTTCCAATGTAAATCATTGTGTATTATTTGATTTCTTTAAATATTATGATTGAATTACTTCACTGAAAATTAAAATGTACAGAGGAGAGCACTGACCACGCACAGGAATTTATCCTGGAGTAAACAGGACAGTGTGGCAAGAGAGCCATCATAACAGTGACCACAGAGTGGACCCTAGTAATCAATGAACTAGGCAAAGGTTGCAGTTGGTACCCGCCAACCCCCACAGTTTTCTTTTCACAAACTTTTCTCTTTTCTGCCCACCTAAGAGCAAATATTTTCATTCTTCAGAAGCTTCTCACTTGCAAGGATCAGAAACCCATCTACCCCACTGTAAATTACCAAAGAAGATTAAAGGGGGAGAATATATTCATAAATGACAGATCCAATAAAGGGTTGACATCCAAAATATATAAAGAGCTCACACACCTCAACAAACAAAAAGCAAATAATCCAATTAAAAAATGGGCAGAGGAGCTGAATAGACAGTTCTCTAAAGAAGAAATTCAGATGGCCAACAGACACATGAAAAGATGCTCCACATTGCTTGTCATCAGAGAAATGCAAATTAAAACCACAATGAGATATCACCTCACACCAGTAAGGATCACCATCATCGAAAAGACAAACAACAACAAATGTTGGTGAGGTTGTGGAGAAAGGGGAACCCTCCTACACTGCTGGTGGGAATATAAATTAGTTTAACCATTGTGGAAAGCAGTCTGGAGGTTCCTCAAAATGCCCAAAATAGAAATACCATTTGACCCAGGAATTCCACTCCTAGGAATTTACCCTAAGAATGCAGCACTCCAGTTTGAAAAAGACATATGCACCCCTATGTTTATCACTGCACTATTTACAATAGCCAAGAGACGGAAGCAACCTAAATGTCCATCAGTAGATGAATGGATAAAGAAGACGTGGTACATATACACAATAGAATATTACTCAGCCATAAGAAAAAAACAGATCCTACCATTTGCAACAACATGGAATAACCTAGAGGGTATTATGCTCAGTGAAGTAAGCCAGGAGGAGGAAGACAAGCACCAAATGATTTCACTCATATGTGGAGCATAAGAACAAAGGAAAACTGAAGGAACAAAACAGCAGCAGAATCACAGAACCCAAGAATGGACTAACAGTTACCAAAGGGAAAGGGACTGGGGAGGATGGGTGGGAAGGGAGGGATCAGGGTGGGGAAAAAGAAAGAGGGCATTATGATTAGCATGTATAGTGTGGGGGGAGCACAGGGAGGGCTGTGCAACACAGAGAAGACAAGTAGGGATTTTACAGCATCTTACTATGCTGATGGGCAGTGACTGTGAAGGGGTATGTGGGGGGGACTTGGTGAAGGGGGGAGCCTAGTAAACATAATGTTCTTCATGTAATTGTAGATTAATGATATCAAAAAAAGAGAGAGAAAAAGAAGATTAAAGGGTTATTATTTTATGGATATTTTAGTTGAAAAGATAGGAAGCTTTTAAGGTCAAGAAGCACAACTGGGCAGATCTGGGTCTCAGTTGGTAGAGAAAAACTCCAGGACAGCAAGTTTTCCCAGTAATCTTTCCTAGTAACCCTGAAATCACAATAAAGAAGTGTTGAAGTAAGTTTTGCTTGTTGGTAAGGCTGTAAGTCATGCTAGGAATCATTTGTTTGCTTTAGAATGTTGAGTGATATGATTCTTATAAGGAATTAAGATCATTTCCCCAACATTACTTAACTTCACAATTAAAAATAAAACAACTAACACTGTCTTGGGCAGAGTAGAAAAGCTTCTAATTCAGAGTCTTATTTTAAATCAGGTAGTAACACAATTGTAATTTTAATAGGGACTGCTTTGAAATAGATCACTTTATAATAATTATAAAGTATATCCTCACCTCTACTTTCAATAGACTTGCTCCAGTACTATATGACAGTATAGGCAGGATGTAGTCTGATTTTTTTTTTTGGTACTCTGATTTTTAAATCTCTTCATGTTGTTACAACAAAATAAATATTTTATTCTTTTTTTAGGTTTACAGATTTTAAAATTGAAGTGATTTTACATTGTTTTGCTCATTCTAAAATAACACACATTCATTGTAAAAATTAGAACAACAAAAGTGTATGTAATGTACTGTGGCAGATTGTAATTTTCAAAGAAAATTAAGGAGAGTTGTCTTAGGAGAGCTGTTAGGTAACATTAGACAAACAGAACAGCCTCTTCATTTCTCATCCAAAATATAACTGCAGTTACTAATTGAGACTATATCTTTAAAGAGTTTTTGTGAAAATTTTAACAAACTTTAAAAAAAATACAAGTGAGTTCATACTATGTATAGTCTTATGTAACATTTTTTTCATGTAAAAATATACCACAGACATCTTTGCCCATCAACATATTGACCCAACCTCATCCTTTAGTACCCACATAATGCTCCATTGCTGTGGATACACCACAATTTGTTTTCCAGTCCTTTTATGTATATATATCTTTGCAGTCTTTTAAAAATAAATATTTATGTAAAATATATATTTTATTATAACCATACTATCACACTATTTTGTAAATTATTTTTACATTCAACACACTGAACTTCTCTTTAAAATATTAATTTTATTGCTGGAATCATCTAAGTGTACCATTATTTATTTTAACAAGTCTATTGCCAGACATTTATTGTTCTTAATAAAAAATGCTGCAGTTAACATCAACATACATTCATCTGTATAAACTTGTCCAAATATTTTTAAATAAATTTCTAAAAAAAAACTGTTGAACCAAATTTCATGACTATTTAAAATTTTATACCAGCTGCAAAAGGTACTTGAAGAAGGTTGCTTCAGTTAGTGCTCCCAACAAGTAGAAATGAGAATGTATATATTCCTATAGCTTTGTCAACCTGGATCATTTTTCAAAAAATTAATCTTTGCTAATCTCAGTAGATAAAATTATTTCATTTCTGTTTTAATTTATATTTCTTTGATTATTTTACCTTACAAGAGAAAGTCGGCCTCGGCTTTGGTGTATAATGTCCTCCGAGACGATGACTGGAGTAAAAACTCTCAATGCACACGACAGAGCCTCCTGCCTGGGGGATTCAGAGCTTCCCTGCTCCCCAAGCCATTCTGTGCGCTAGGCTGGCTGTCCACATGCACCGCGTTGCTTTGCTATCACGGAACACTCATTTGAGGCAGAGATACTCATGAGATGAAGCTCACACTGGGAGAATATCAGTGTAGAGTCTTTCACTCTGGTTATGCCAGGCTACAAAGGGCATTTAGGCCCACTGGAATAAAAGTGCTAAGAGGGGAAGATCCACCTTGCTATTTGACTTGACCTGCTGGACATATTCCAAGATGATCTCAACCGATAGCCCCAGTGAGCACCCACAGGCTCTCAGGAAGGAAATGCTCTCAGGGTTCTGCCGGGGTGCTCACGCCTCACGCAAAGGTCCTCGCACCACACAGGGGGTGCCCTGCTATTGCTCTATTGCAGCAACCTGCTCCTCTCTCGACACACACACCACTCCGGAGACTGCCGTCTTGGTCTCAGGAAGGGATGGCAAATACGTGGTATGAGCGCCAGTATTCCTCCCATCCTCCCTCCCAGCCCACAGCAGACATTGCTAATTCATCATGGTGGCCTTTTCTGAGAAGTCCAAATGTGCCTCCAAACGCTCCAAAACACAGTACTTCCAGTATCGTCATCTGTCAACTATCTAGCAAAGGAGGTAGACAGCGGGTATTTGCAATTGGCAAGAGCATGACAGTAGGTAGGATCCAGGTGAGCAGAGATGGGTATTTTCCTCTTCATGGAGGAGCGCCCATTCAAGCAGCCACACCCATTGCCATCCTTCCACAAGGTCTGATGACAAAGGTCTCAAAGCAGGGTCTGATAACTGAGATTTCTAGCCAGGTAGTTCTTAGATGGTGGCTCCATCTCAGAGAGGTAAACTGGACCTACTGCGAATTAATCATATTCTCATGAAGCCCAGATGTAGCTCCACAATCCTTCTCAAAAAGCTCCAGATGGTCTCTACCAATAATTGTAGATGAAAGCTGCTTGCACCCAATCAGTGGAGGTTTTTGTTTTACCTTTTTTAACTTGACAAATGGAATCTTGACTGTGGACTGGCAACAGAGTCAGAGGATGGCTTGGAAGCTACCCTTATCCCAGCCTGGCCCATTTCAGGCTGGGTGGGCATGAGGCTGGTTATACGGCGCTAATGCAGCTGGGCTCAGACACACGGTATGTGGGGTTCCTGCAACAGAGGGCCAGCAGGGAAAGAGAGCAAGCTAGACAAGGTGTGGGCTCATAACTACGTATCAGCCTTTCCTTCTAAATGTCCCTTGTTCCCTCCTACTACTTTCCTGGCCCTGCTCATTTTCTTACACGGCTCCTCCTGCTTATAAGCCCTTTCCCTCTTTACAAGTGAACATATCCTACACCTTCTGGCTTTTCTAAGCCAGGAATATTTGGTCTTCCCTTAAAAATGCCATTTCCCATTGTATTCTGGTTGTTTGCTACAGATTTCTTCCACCTTCTGGATTTTGGACCTTGTGTATTTTGTATCTTTATATCGCTCTACAATGTACAACATAGCACAAGCAGATTGTTTTTATAATTGCTCCTAACTTTTCCCCTTTCCTTTAGTTTAGGGGTCAGCAATTCATAGCTCGTGGGCTAAATCCAGCTTTCTACCTATTTTTGTAAGTAAAATTTTATTGGACAAGGCCATGTTCATTGTTTATACATTGCCTGTGGCTGCTTTTCCAAAACAGCAGAGATGAGTAATTCAACAGAGATCTTACAGCCTGCAAAGCTGAAAATATTTATTATCTGGCCCTTTACAACAAGGGTTTGCCAACCCTTGTTCATTTTTAGTAAGAAAAGAGATTTGCCCTTTGGATTTAGTTCTCTAAACCACTACTGCCTTCCCTCTCAACCTTATAAAAACTGCAAACATTAGAACTGTAAATATTTTTAGAAATATTCATCATAAAATGGGATCTCAGTTCAGGAAGTGTCAGGGGTCCATTAATGGCCCTGTAGTAAGCTCATTTACAACCAAAGTAGTGGTTTGTCTAGAACCTTGTCATAAATAGTTTTCATTGAAAAATAGTAAGTTGACACTTTAGATTTGTAGATCATTTTCTCTGAGCCTGGATAGTGTGAACCCACTCTGTGTTCCACCCCCGCTGGAATTAGCCTCTCCTTTCTCCGTGCTTCTGATATACTCCATTCACTCTGTTACAGGAACTGTTTCAGTTAGCCTTATATAAATTTATTTTCATGAGTGAACTTCCAGACTAGGGTTATAAACACCTTGTGTAAGGAACTTTTTTGTCCAAATCTATAGCCCTCATGGCGTTTTCCCAAAGCAGGTATTGATAAATGGTGATTGAATGAATATCATTAATGCAAATGTGAAAAACAGGTTTACAGCAACGTAGATCTTATGCAGCCATGGACAAAACCTCAGAAGAAATTCCTCATAGTGTGCTTCAGGTGTACATATATTCCATCCTGTTTATTCTGCTTATATCCCTGTTTAATTTGCTCTTATGTGTGTGTATGAAATCATGTGTATATGAAAGAAAGGAAATCATCTCAAGAATACCTACCATACAATAGCACTCTGTTGTTTAAAAAACCAAACAAAACAATTGTCTTAAAAAGTACATGGCTTGTCTGGGGTCAACAGCTTTCTCAGGAAATTAGCATTATTGTGAACCGGAAAACCTTTTTGGACTTTATTTCCTTAACTAATCACTTCACTGCTAAACTTCAGCTGATAATGAACCCTATTTAGCAATCCAAGTGACAAATGATTCAATAGACCTCTGGTTTTCATCTAGGTGAACTAGTATTTACAGTCCAGGCCCAGAGGAGATTAACTAGAAAAACGAAGCATCCCTCAGGCACTTTATTTGCCTTTGTGTATGTAAAGCTCTTGTTTGCAAGGTGGTAGAGAAACACAGCTTGAACTAGCCCAAGAAAAAGGGATGGGGGGTCATGGGTTTCTGGTTCACAAAATCCAAGGAGATGAGTAATGAAATGGCGGGGAAAAACTGGGATGCAGGTGAGCCTCTGGAACGATGGGTACCAGGGACTGGAAAGCTGCCAGAACTCTTTGTCCATTTGGAATCTCTGCTTCTCTCTACATGCTGCCCTCATTCTCCATGCAGATCAACCTTGTCCACCAGGAGGAAACCTGACTTTACACAACTCCTTTTTTTTCTTTTTTTAAATCTTACAGTTTTATTCCTAGAGAGGGACAGTCCCTCTCAATTTTGATTGGAAAAATCCCAGGGAAAATCCCTTTGGGCCCAGGTTGGATCAAACCTAACAGGAGATGTGTTATATAAGAAAATGACCCTCCTGACATAGTCGTGGGGGTAAAGAAGGAAGGGAGGAGGGAGGAGAGACAGTTCATAAGAGGAAGGATCTGGAAGGGTATTGGTTTGACAGTTCCATAGATGTTCTCTGCTATTTTTAAGGACAGGGGCTATCCTATTTACAAATTCCTAGGCTTCTGAAAAGACAGAAAAGAAGGCTAGCAAAGAACCATATACTGGCTACTTGACCTCAGAGAAGTATCAGACTTTCATTATAGTAGCACAGGTAACCCTAAAGGCAGCTAAAGGCAAGGAGAGGTGGAATGTTTACATTCATTTGAAATACAGTCAGTGACAAAAGGCTCCCACTGGAAAGCAGGGAGAGAAACTAGCAAGGAGGCCCTAAAATGTGTGTCACCCGAAATGGAGCCTCCCATTAAATACTGAGGGGTCTGTCTGGTCTGTTTTGTGCATGAAAAAGGCTGTAAATCCAGACTACCTTAAGGTTTCTCCAAGCCCTGCCCCGGCACTGCTGCCAGCCAGGACAGTGCCTGAGAGCAAATCGGAAAGGCGCACCCTCATCTAGGCGGACCCAGCACCCACCCACCTCCCTAGCGCCAGGAGCGCTGAATTTCAGCCTCCACCTACCAGTCTGCCAGATACCCTTGTGCAGGGTCCAAACTGCATGAGCAGCTGTGGCTTCCCTCCCTACCGGGGAGGGATAGGGGGTTGGCAGCCTATCCCTTCTCAAAGCAAGGACTTCCAACATCAATAAAAGTGAGGCTCAGGTGGTAGCTTGGGCCTGGTGAAAGAAAACAGCAGCAGGAAAGGCAACAATGGCTGAACTCAGAGGGCTCTAGGGATGGACGACATACCTCTGGGTTCTGGAGCAACAGGGACGTCTCTGGGAGTGGGGAGACCAGCAGCAGCCTCTACTGACTGAGCAACAACATGGGCAGTACCAGCCCCGGGAGCTCCTGGAGTGATTCAGGGTGCAGTGGTGATGAGGCTCTGTGCACGCTTGTCTCTCTCATTAGGGACAGGGCTTTGTGGTTTTGTTAAATCAGGACCTTAAGCAGCAGAATGCCTTGACAGAGATGGAACTTTTTTGTCTCCTTTCTTTTTACTTTGAAACACTAAAAATAACCACTTTCTGAAGGGGATGGTTGTGGAAGGATTTAAGGAAGCGATCCTTAGAAAACCTAATGTGAGGATTTTGCAATGTCATTTTTATAAGTTTATATTCAAACTTGTAGGATAGACACTCTTAGAAGAGAAGTCACACCCCCAGTGTCCCAGAAGAGGGAGGAATTAGTTCACCGGGATGGGTGCCCAAAGGAGGGGCAAGCAAAGGCACCCTGATGCAGGAACAGAGGGATAGGAAATGATGGGGATCAGAGTCTTAGGGGGCATCGGAATCTGGGTGTGTCTTCTGATATGAGCTGGAGATAGGCATTCAGCCTCGAGGTCCTGGTCACCCTGAGCCCTGAATGATCAGGGTACAGCTCATCTGCAAGCAGGCACCATGCCAGCATGTGAAAGCAGTAGCCAGAACAGAGGAGCCATCACCCCAGTGCTGCAGCCCAGGGAATAAATGCCAGGCAGCCTGCCTCTGTGCTGTCAGAGCCCTGTTTATTTTTGTGCTTCGAAGGAGCCGCCCATGAATGTTCCAGTCACTGCATGAGTCAGATTTGTTCCCCAAAAGCTGCTGCAACTCTGCATCCAGTCCACCCTCTTACCCTACTTTCTGGACCTGGTCTGAAACACCACTCACCAATTCCCCCGGCTATGTATGAATTAGGAGATAGGCTGGGTCTCATATTCGGATAATACAATAGATGCTCAAGATTGCAGGGGGGCAGGGAAACAGGAAATAACCAGGCACTAGTTATGTGAGTATATGACAAAAAGTGGCATTCAAATCACTGAAGAAAAGAATGGACCATTCAAAAACACTGGGAAAGTTGACTAGTAATTAGGGGAAAACATTAGATCCTTATCTCACTGCAACTAAATAAATTATAGACAAGGCAAAGATTTAAATGTGAACAGTGTAAAACATACATGTAATAGAAAATAGGAAAAAAACAAGACAAATAATATTGAGTACAAATGAAAACTACTGTATGACCAAAAAAAAAAAAAGAAGACATATATGGTTGAAAGACAAATGACAAAATGAGGACAGCGATAACAACAATAATGCAAGTCAAAGGGTTAATATCCATAATATTGAAAGAGCTTGTACAAATAAAGAAAAAATAAAACTTCAGTAGAAAAAAATGGGCAAAAGTCAACAAATATATGAAAAAGTATACTTCACTGATATTCAAAGAAACAAATTAAAACAATACTGAGACGATTTTCACCTATCAGGTTGGCAAAGATTGTTTTAAATTTCTCAAGCTCAGGCACTGACAAGGTTAGTAGAAAAATGTACTTCATACTTTTCTTGTAGGCATGTAAAATAGTACATCTTTCCCAGAGCGCACACTGACAAGAAGTATGAAGCCGTAAGATAGACATACTCTTTGGTAACAATTCTACTTGTAGGATTTTGCTCCAAGGAGATAATTACACAAATTTGAGAAGATACATTCACACTTTGTTCATTATTGAGAAACAGGAAACAACCTCAGTGTCCCTCAGAAGGAGCTGGTTAATTAATTGTGGTACAGCATCCAGGCAATACTGCACAGCCCTTAAAATGAACTGGGTGAATCTGTATTGATGCAGAAAGATGGCTTCAATTCTTGATTCTCTGAGGCCCTTGCCATTCCCTTGGGTTGACTACTACTTGTCCTCATAAACAGAGTTTCTGGTAATTTCCCCTCTATCAATTATAGACTTTGACACCTGGCTCATAGTCTTCCAAACCACTATCACCCAAGGAGACTTAAATATCCACGTGGACAAGTCATCC